CCCCAAAACCCCAAAACCCCAAAACCCCAAAACCCCAGCGAGATGTTCAGTGATTGAATTTTAGTATAAATCCAAAGTTTATTGAGATTATTGGATTTTTTTGAGAATTTTGGATATGAGGAGAGTGGTATTATGAACTCAGGGTAATAAGCTCTCTCCATGAATCATCTCTGTTTGTGGCATGTTTTAATACTTGAAATTATCGAAAACAGCAAAGGGCTTCTTCTTTGACAACTAAGGTTCTACCTCGGTTAAATCAGCTTAAATCTGGAATTAAATGCAGCTTTAGCTCTGTTGAAAGTTCCATGAATCTCAAGTTAATTCAAGAAACATAAGAGGTTTTTGGAGATATTTTTAGCCAAACTATAAATTTTGCCTAATTTTGTAGATTTTTACACTCTTCTTGATAAAATCTCAACCCTTTGAGCCTGATTATCAAAGGAAGATACCAAAAGATGAAATTTATAGCTTCTTAGCCTCTTTCATACATGCTTAAAGTTTTTAGAACGATTCATTCCAGTTAAGTAGTATCTGACAATTTTTGAGGAACTTTAACCAAATTTCATATATAATTTTGAGATTCATGAAAAGTGAGCAATTGAAGGAACTAAATTTTTGGATAGACTTGCTTATTCAAGACGAGTTTAAAACTAAAGGAAGAATAGAAGCATTACTTCATTTTGGGCTTTACTAGAGGTGCTGTGCTACAATAGGACTTACTTTATTTTATCGTATTTTGCCATCACATAGTGACTAATCCAAAGTGAGGATCTATGGTTGAGACATCAGATGAGCTATTATAAGCTTCTTGCTAGCCATAAAGTCTTGCCTCTGCTATTAAGTTAAATAATTCAAGTTTTTAATTCCAAATCCTTAAAATTATGTATCATAATTGTTTTATATTAATGACTAAGGAATCACTAATAATATAAGAGATTTACTGAAATTAGAAAGAATTATATAAGAATTTACTTAAAGCTAGATAGGACATGCATATTGAGAGTCTCTCTCATTTAAGCTTTTAATGATACCTCCTTTGTCATCCAAGTGAGCTCTTCTGAGCGAGAAATCGTTTTCATGCCTCTTAAATAAGGTTAATAGCTGCTTAATAGTAGTTTATCAAAAGTTTGAACCCCCAGAGAAGATGGTATCAAGCGAAGTCTTATCTTAAGAAATAAGGCCTTGCAATGACTAAAATTCATCAATTTTCCAGAAGATAGATAGGCTGATTAATCGAGATATTCACAGTCTTCGTTTGATATTGATAAATGCTCCGTTATAAGAATGTTATAACATTTTCTGAATCATGGATTTTCTCTCTTTCAAATTGATATTTTAGTATTTAGTAAGATGAGCCATAGTATGATGCCTCCACAGAATGATGGCTCTAAAAGAGTATGAGAGCAAGGAGCCCAAGGAGTTTAATCCCATCTCTGATAGATTAATAAAGATTCTGCATATGCTTAGCTAAAATTTTCAGAAGTCTTCAGATTCGCTCTATTATCAATAATAGAAGAATATTGAGCTTATTTTACTTTAAAGAAAAATTGCACCAATTTTGATCTTCGGAAAATTTTATTGGTTGCAAGAATCCTTGATAGATATTTAAGTCCAAAGATAAAATACTTAATATAATTTTTATTATGAATTTCCAAAACAACAATGGTTACTCTGGCTTAACTCCTACCATGTCCTGGGAGTATACAGCCATGCTCAAACAGCTTGAGGAGGCATATTGAGTCTGCTCACACATAAATAGCACTGTTCCTCATATTGAGGACGTCTGAATTTGCCAGGATTGGTGATTATGTACTTCCTCAATCAATTCCAAGCTAAGCACTAGTATTGGGTAAGCATTAAGTGATGAAAATTTTCTTCAAACAAAGATGATCTCAGGCTCTTGATTTTAGAAGTTCTTACTCTTTAAATATAGAAACGATAGTAAGCAAGATATGAATGGATCATCTTGATGTTCAAAATCAGGTACAAAATCTAAGATTCATAAAAAGAATATTACACATCAACTTGGTCAAGAAGAAGTCGAACAATCAGAAAATATTGATGACAACTCTCAGGATATCAAAAGGAGGAAATCACGCTCCTCTAAGCTAGACATAAAGCCAAGTCTTATTAGAGTGCGCAGAAAGATTCTCAGCAGCGGAATCACCGCTTTCTTCAGTTCACCAAAAAAGACTAGAGGGACTGCAGATGTCACACTTGGGAGAAGATCTAGATACATCGGTGTTTCTAAGAACAACTCTCATTGGCAAGCAATGATCAACTCAAGAAGAGACAAAAAATACATCGGGACCTACCTCACCGAACTAGAGGCCGCCAGAATCTACGACATCTACTCTATTGCCATGCAAGGAATCAAAGCTCCCCTAAACTTCAACTACTCCACTGCTGAAATGCTCACAATAATCGACAACTTCCTCCACCCACAACAATAAATCCCTAATTTCATCTAAATTCCGTCTTCACCCAACCTCACCAACGTTCTTAGCTTAGCCATGTTTGTTAGCTGGCGGGTAGGATAAAAGTGGGAAATATCAATGGTGAGGGGAATACTTGGGGTTTTGGGGTTTTGGGGTTTTGGGG